GCACAAATCGTGAAACCAAAAATCATGATGCGTGAAATCTTTGTTTCAAATCATGTTTACCAATCGTTTTATGTCCACATGACTTCATGCTCGGGACATACAATCATTTTTGGAAATACGCCCCTAACAACGGGGCTGTCATGATGCAAAGAAAATAAAGTCCGCGCGCGGAAAAATATCGTCTCTCCGCCAGCTGTTCCAGAAAACGGGTCCAAGGAAACTCTTTTAGTAAGGCTTCCTCAGCTGCTTTCAAAGCTGCACGCTCAGCTCTTTCCTCTTCACGCTGTCGGTCTTCTTGTTCCATTCGGTGCACCATTCTTGTCATGAGCACCTGGTTTTGACGCAGCATTTCCTGCTGAGTCCTGAGCAGCTCTACGAACACTTGCTGGTCCACACAGGGCGGCGGCACAGTGTGTGCTGCTTGCGCTGTCGGACTCCTAGTCGCATTCCCTTGAGGAACGGCGCCACCTCTGTTCATGAAGGGGTTGGCTGTTGCTCCCAAAGGACCAAACAGCTTGTATTCTTTGGCGCGGACACAATCTTTTTGCACTTGAGCCAAAGCAAGGTCGTAGCGTCCTTTGGCTTCTTTCACAGAGCTGGCTGCTCTTCTTGGGAACTGCTATTCCCGATTTCTCAAGATTGCTAAACAATGGAATTCAAGCAAAACACGCAAAAACAATTTTCTGGTACTTTGTTGAAAAACAAACAAAACTACCTGGGAAAACTGTGCTAGCACTCACACTACTTTTTCCTCTGAGCATTTGAAGGTCTTGAGCCTCCATGTGCAACATGCAAACTTGTGATTCCTGCAAGGGAAACTTCTGTGCACTGACACTCCTATACATGTGTGCTCAACACATACCTGGGAGACGTGAATGTTCAACACCCCGCCTCAAAAGTACCTGAAACTAATTCCTGATACATCAGGTGCGGAAGGCTACTTTTGCAATTCAACATTCCAGTGATATTAGGCCCACTGGTAAACCTTGTGCTATCCTTTGGATGCACTTGCCTTCGAAAACAAACACACCTGGGAAAACAAAAGCTGTACAAACTCTACTTCCTTTTTACTTCCTGGGAAAAATTTTAGAGTCCTGGTCTTGTGGGGTGAGCGAGTACCAGTCTCGTCCCATTGGCACAGCCTATGTGCTCTTTGTCTTCTTTCTTGTGATGCAAGCTTCTTTGGACTGCCTCCGACCTTTGCTAGTCTAGTCCTTCCTTGGAGTGAAACCTTTACAAGTGCTTTGTGAAACTTCCTGAGAAAACGTATGACCATCATAGGCATATTGGATTCCTATGACGTTCCAAAAGACTTCGTTGTACACATGCAAACTTTGGAGCACTGAAATTCCTGGTAAGGACTTGAGGCTACGCACAAACTTCCTGAACACAAAACTCTGTAGTACTTCTTGCGACGTGTGTACTTGGAAAACATTGCCATGACATAATTCCTGAGGTCATGGAGCTTGCTCACATTCTGCCTGCGAAAGTTCTTTTAGCTTTCACCATCTTGATGATCTTTTCCTCCGCCTGGGTGGTTCTTCCACCAATCATCTTCATCCTGGCACTGGTCTTTGGAGTTGTAGTTGTACCAGTCCTGGTACTGACCTTCCCAGCTTGAGCTTGCGCTCTGCCAGCTAGGCTGTTCCCAGCCTGTGTTGTTGCTGGCATTCCACTGATTAGCTTCAGCGTCATATTCTTCATCCTCTGAATCTTCTTCTGAACTTTCCCTCTACTTCTTCAGCAGCGGCTTGCTGAATGACTGATAGGTTCAAGAGGCGGCATGTCGCTATCAGTCTCTCCTTCTTCTTCTTCTTCTTCTCTTTGGGCTTCTTCCTCTTCCTGCACTTCTTCTTCTTCTTCCTGTGACCTTTCTTCTTCCTGTGACTTTTCTTCTTCCTGTGACTTTCCTCCTTTTGATCCTTTATCTTTGCTTTTTGTCTTTCCTCCTTTGTAAGGATGGTCTTTCCCTAGCCACCTATACTTCTTTTCCTTCTTGTCATACTCCCACGAGTGGCCATGCTCGACGAAGTAGGCGTACCTGCGAATGACGTTCCCATACCAATCCTTGAACACTTCCAGCGACTTGTCCTGGGAGTCTGCTTGACTTCTTTCCTGAGAACATTGTTGGTTGTACTCTTGAATCGCTTGCTCTCTCTCACCTTTCGTCTTTCCTTCTTTTCCTTTTTCCTGGAACTTTCCTTCTCCTTTCTTTCCTTCTTTTCCTTGTCCTTTCTTTCCTTCTTTTCCTTCACCTTTCTTTCCTTCTGACTTTCCTTGCGCTTGTTTTCCTTCTTCTTTCTTTCCTTGGAAAACGCTTGCTGCTTCTTGCCCTTTTCTTTCTGCCTCCTCTGCTTCTTCCTGCTTTCTTTGCGCTTCCATTCGTAAAGTTGCTCAACTTTTCCTACTTGTGCTCTCCTAATGCTTTCTGCATCTTCCTTCATTTTCTGCAACTCCTGAGCACGCTTTTCAACTTCCTCATTTCTTCTGACTCCTGCAAGCCTCCTTGATTCTTCCAGCTTTCTTTTCTCTTCTTTTGCTACCTCCTCACTGTACCTTGCGCTTGCTTCGTTTATCGCTGCGGCTTCCTCCAAAACTTCTTTTAACTTCCTTTTTCTTTCTTCTTCCTCATCCTTGCTTTCTCCTTTCTTTTCAAACTTTCCTGACTTGTCCTTTAAGCTGCTTGGCTCTTCTTCTTCTTCGTTGTTCTCTTCTTCTTTCTCTTCACCTTCTTCTTCCTCTTCCTGTGTTGCTTCCTGTGAGCTTGTTGTTCCCAAACTTCTGTTGCGGCGGTATCTTCCTTTCCTTTTGGCCTTTCCTTTGACCTCCTTCTCTACCTTCTCTTCTTTTCTCTCTTTCTTTGCACACCACCACACTGCAAACGTGAACAACACCACAGCTAAGTGCGACAGGAGCTGGAGCAACCACGTCTTTATGCCTGTGAGGGCACTTTGCTCCATTGGAGTAGGCGAGGTCGCTGTACTTCCAGCAAGAAAACTTGACACCAACAATGCAAACATGCAACTGCGGCTGTTGTTAACAATGTTGTGGTTCCTGGTAGGACAGTTGTTGAAGTACCTGTAACTGCTGTTGGAGCCATGCACGGAGTCAACCAAGCTTCTCAACACGCTTCGATCATGCCTGCGAAAATCTGAATCTCTGCACAATGCTCTCAAAACTTGCAATGCTTCAATGTCCAACTGTTCTGCTTGCTCTTGCAACCAACTGCTTCATGTGAATCTGGATTTCCTGTGAAAAATCTGAATAATGATAGCAAGAATCTGACACGGCTTTGCTGTCAATGCCTTTGTGCCAATATCAGCCAAATTGTATCTTGTTTGAGTTGCTGTAATTGAAAAAATACCTGATTTGGCAAAGATCTTGCAACCACAGAACTTTCAGAGAAATGTGTTTTACCCTTCCTTGGACTCCTTGTCGCTGTATCATGCCACGTGCTGCTTGAGAATCACATCTCAGCACCAAACATAGTATTCTGCTTCACCAGATGAGAACGAAACAACTTTCTGCCTGCGACTGTATGAGTCAACATCATTTCCTTCAGGCAAAGTATGGTTTGCTTTCAAGTTCAGAACGCTTTTACCAACAGCCTTTCCTGAGAACACGTCGTGAAAATCTCTTGTTCCTGTGAGATACAGGATCAAATGTTCCAACCGCTTTTGTTGCCTCTTTGTAGGAGCTGTCAAACCACTGCTCAACACGTTGACTGCAAACTGAATTCAGGTCGATCTCCTGAGATGTATAACAAGATGCCAATTGCAGTTCTGTACTTCCTGTGATCTTCAGCACCAGGATGCACTGGAACCTTCAGTATGTCATTTCCACAAGGAGCAGCTTTTGGTTTTCTGTGACTAAGGCAAAAAACAACTGCTTCTGGATACACTTGGGATCAATGAATTGACAACCTGTGACTGAAGTACGAAAACTTCTTGAGATATATGGGTAGAGTAGGCTGTCTGACCAGATTATTCTGTGCCCCTAGTAGCCTCCTAGAGCCATTCTTAGTCATTCTTCTGTGCCCCTAGCGCTGCCCTAGCGCTGCCCTAGTGTGCCCTAGTGCTACCCTAGTGCTGCCCTAGTGCTGTCCTCGTGCCTCACAAGTTGAACCCAATTGGCACAGAATTGGCATTGGCACAGAATTGGAAGAATGGTTCCTCGAACCTCCAGGCAGCATTTCTGCAAGCAGCCCCACCGCAAAAAAATGCCAGCGGCCGCAAGCCGCCCCGCCCAAAATGAAAAAAAAAATCCCAACCGCGGCTTGCGGCGCAGCTAGCGGTGCAACTTGCTTTCATCGTTTCATTTTCGGCGCGATGAAATCCGCCGATGAAAGCCTGCTGGCGTTTTTATCCGAGATCCAGGCGAACGCTCTTGGCACGTACGCGGCCAGAGCCCACATATGCCCTTCATGCGGCTCGACTTGATGAAAGCGCCGGGCGTCGAAAGTCATCGGTTTATCGTGAATATCGTGCCAGGTCCCAATGAGGGAGCGAGTTTTGGTTCTCAGCTTCAGCTCAACCGGAAATGAACCGTTTTCATCCTCAACCCAGACTCGACCGCCAGAAAATGAGCCCAGCGTGATGGCGTGGTTCACATGCTCCTTCAAATTTAGCAGGTTGCGATGAAGCCCCATCTTCGGATTGCAGAGGATCGCGATCGAGGTCCAAGTTTTCCGCGGAAAGCGGTTTTGTAGAAAATGATTTACGGCCCTGCAGATTTCTTCATCATCCGAAGCCCTGGAAATGCCGGCGATGCCTCCGTGCGCATAAAGCCCCAGAGTTGCATACTTTTCAAATGCACCGGAACCGATCTGTCGCGTTCTGTCCTTGTGCTTCCATTTGCAAGACCAGCGGTCCAGAAGATGAACGAGATTCGCCTCCGAGGGCAGTTCGCAAACGGCGGTGGCCAGATGCTTTAATTCGGAGTCCGTCATTTTCATTAGGATGCGCGACAGTTCGATTCATTCATTCAAAAGTAAAGGCGGAATGAGCAAGATCAAGCTCTTTCCATCTCCGACCTACGAGGTCAAGAAGTCCGGCAAGAGCACGGCCCTCGTAAGCATGATTCTGGAGCAGTATCGCGGCTGCTTCGAAAGAGTCATCATTTTCAGTCCGAGCATCAACGTCGATGACAGCTGGAGGCCCGTTAAGAAGTACATCGAGGAGGTCATGAAGGTCCCGACGGACCGCGAGCAGGTCTACTTGGAGGACTGGGATGAATCCGCTTTGCGCAGGATCATCAATCAGCAGCGCAAGATCACCGAGACGAGCAAGCAGCTGTTAAATGAAGCAGCTCTACCAGATTTTGGTCGTCATCGATGATCACGCAGACTCGCCGGCTCTCCACAAGAAGACCGGAGACGCGGCCTCGGACACTCTGTTCATCCGCGGGAGGCACTTCCAGATCTCGACCATCGTCTCCACTCAGAAGCTCCGTCTGATCAGCAACGCGGTCCGAGTCAACTCCCAGTTCTTCATGGTGCGGCGCCTGCGCAATCAGTTAGAAAAGGACAGCCTGCTGGAGGAGCTGACAGCTCTCGTGCCGAAGGCGGACCTAGAGGCGATGTACGAGGCGGCGGTCTCGGACCCTTACAGCTTCCTCTACATTTACCTGCTAAACTCGCGGACGAGATGTTCCACGTTCGCTTCGAGAAGTGGTTTCTGATAGGCGCGCCCAGTGTAGCAAACGATGGGAGCCGTGCTGGGGACGGTCTTCAGCAAGCTCCTGGGGAGCAGCACCTTGCGCGAGCGAGTGTCGCAACATCAGCTGTTGCAGCTCTGCGCCTAGAGTCTACGACCCATCCAAAACCGCCCTGGATGCAACAACCGACGCGATGGACTCCACAGACGTCAGCGGACTCTGCGGCGACAGTCGCGACTCTGCCCGGCCCAGTAGGACGGCTCTTTGGTAGGAAGAAAAAGATCATGACCTCTATCTGCGTTAACTTAAGAAAGCGCGTGGCCGACACCGACTGCGACTTCGAGTTTGACGTTTGGAAACGGTGCACCTGCAGGGCTCCGCCCGGCTGGGAGTCTTCAAGATTAGGGTGGAAGACACCTTTCTTAGCATCGACCGCGGCACCTACCTTCTGGCGGGACTTGCTCTGGGTACTCTAAACTGGGCCCAGCTGCCCACGGGGACGTACATCGGCGTGCGCCTGGCCGCCTGCGCCACCTACGTGGAGTCGCGCAACGAGCTGGAGGTGGCCCACGACGGCAACCGACTCATTCTGAACGACTAGGAGCTGCGCTTGCAGTTTCCAGGCGCGTTGCGTTTCTTACCTGCAAGGCGCCCAGCAAGCCTCTGAGCATCATGATCAACGAGGCGGGCAACCAACAGGTGTTCACCTGGGCGCTGATCCGCCTGTCTGGCAAGGACAGCTTCAGGGGCTCGCCTTTCTCGACAGTTCAGCACCTCCGCAAAGCGAGGGCGGACCCGGAAGCTGAGGGATTCTGCGGTTGAGCCATTCTGCCCATAGCGTCGGCGTACTTCTTCCCCTGCTGCTTCAGTTGACGATCCTGGAGCCACTCGTTGAACGCCTGGCGAATGTGATTTCCGCCGTTTCTGCGGCGGCGGCCCTCTGGATCTTGGACTCTCAGGCCATGCTTAATAACGGCTTGCGCGTCGGTCGATCTGCGGAAACACGCGTTGTTCCACGGCGTTCGCCGCCTTTTTGTCGCGTTTCTGAAGCCAAAGTTTTGGCGCGGCTGGCCCACGCCACTAGCGCCTGCTGCAATGGTGCTCGTGAACCCTGCTGCGGCCGCCTCAACGCGATGCTGGGTTGACCTGGCTTCGGGTCAACATCCGGGGCCCCGATCACGCTTCGATACCTCCGTTTCAGGCTTACAGACTACGAGGGCAATGTGTGGTCGACCTGCGCAGCACCAGTCTCGCTTGTTCAAAAAGCATGCCTTAAAAAAAATACGCCATGCACGAAGTTCCTGCTTCCGAAGCGCCCGAAGTGCAGCCTGCGCAGCCGACTGCTGAAGGTCTGCTGCCGCCAAAAAAACTACAGCCGGTTCCGGCGGCGGAGCCGAAGAAGCGAGGGCGGCCGCCGGGCAGCAAGAACAAGCCCAAGCCTTCCCCTCGACGTTGCCCACATACGCACTGCGGCTCCTGTTCCCGCCGGTGTAGCCGCCCCGGAACCGGAGCCGGTCCGAGGAGCCGCCTCCTACCCTAAGCATGATGAGGGCCATGAGGCAGGCCGCGCCGACCGCTTCGAGGAGCTGCTCACGCGAAAACACTATGGACTTCTGATATAAGCCAAAAAACAACCATGATAAGCATCGAGCCGCGGAACGAGCAGCAGATGCTGGGGCATGATCCGTCTGAATTTTACGAAGGGGGGCTTGAGAAAAAGGGCTTCTCAAAATTGAGTTTGAGGAAGGTCAGGAGAAGGGCGGGGGGGGGGCGGACGAACATTGAAGGCTTGAGAAGGGGCTTGAAGGGGGGCTTGAGAAGGGAGGCTTCTCAAGGGGGCTTGAGAAGGGGCTTGAAGGGGGGCTTGACAAGGGGCTTGAAGGGGGGCTTCAGGGGACCTTGAATTCTCGAAGGGGGCTTTAAGGATCTCCCAAGCCTTGAAGGGGGGCTTGAGAAGGGGCTTGAAGGGGGGCTTGACAAGCCCTTAAGGTCTCCCTCCGCCCTTCTTAAGCCCCCCTTTTCAG